AGCTGTCATGAGTTGCCTTGAGACCACTGAGAGACCTTAAGGCAGACGCCAAACGCTCTAGCTTTGTCATGTACCTGGGCAGAGGTGAGTCACACCATCTCCTCTCATCAGCATTGAGTTAATTCTCCACAGGTGAGGAGCAGAGGGAGCGGCAGCTGCAGGAGATTTCCCAATCAGGGACGCGGGTTCAAAAGGAGGATGGAGACACCTCACTGTGCCGGATGATTGCACCAGTTTAGGTAGCCCCAGCCACTTGTTTGCCCTTGTTCGTTCGTGTTTTGACTCGTTCTCAGACTATTGGATTTATGACCTCGGATCGTGTTTTTGGACTACGTTTTTGGATTTTCCCTGACGTCTGGTGTTTGTTTCCCTTCCCCTCAGGATTCTCACGCCACCTGCTCCACCTTCGCTGTCTACGTACGCTGGATCTCACACACCACATCCCATCATCCTCCATTGTTCCTGTTTGGATTCCCCCTGCTACCTCACCCCTCCCGGAGCGCTCACCCTCTGCCCAGCGCTCACCCCGGCTTCCCCTCCTCTCTCGTTCATCCCGAACGCTACAGAGGACAAGAGCTGCACCGCTCACTCTCACAGGACTTCCCTGTGCTGTTTCTGTTCCCGTTTGTGTAATAAAGAACTTTATTTTACCAATTCAGCTCGACGAGTGATGATTCTACATGTCTTGGGTTAGGCACTTACTTCGAGTCATGACAAGCTTGTATAAAAACCATTGCTATTTTCTGAATCTGGCTCCCCCCATGTCGGCCTTGGAAGGCCGAACATCTCAAACTTCTCTGGATGTTTATGTAGACGAATGCTCGGCCCCACCTTCCCCCGATCCTCACATGGGCCTGCGAGCTTCTTGATTGGCTCTCAAGGTCAAATCATTACATTTTAGGATTGAACTCACTCACTTACTGATGCACACACGCATTCACCACAATTCAATTCACAGACACGCACACATTCCTCAATCTCAACATGCTCGCCCCTTCCCTGATCCTGCTTCCAGCTCCTGGTCAGTGGAGCTGTAGGGCCGCACTGAACAACTGCGACCTTGTTCAGTTGTGCGGAAGATCCCCTCCCTCCCGCTCCCATTTGCTCTTTTATGTTGTGGCTGTCTGAAACATGGGCTTCTACGTACTGAGGTGGTTTTTTGTACCTCTGCTCTGTCCCTTGTCTGCCACGCACCGCATCAATCATGACACCACCCTGTTGTGTCAAGGTGTAATCTTTATTCACAGTCTGCCTGATCCCCTTAATGTCTATGTGTGCTGTTTGAATGCTGTTGAACAGGTTGTGCTGACTTGGAAATTTGTTGTACCGGGTCCGGGACGCTGGTTCAGTGACAATAAAGATCTGATGATTCTGATTTCTGTGCAATTTTTAACTTGGATCGAGTCCAACCTGTGTGTAATTAGCAGCTGCAGCTGCACAAGTAGCAAGTGGTCTTAAATAAACTCCACACACACATGCAGGATTAGTTAAAGGCTAAATAACAATTCTGTTCTAACTTTTTTTTTTTGACACACGACCCAGTTGTGTTTAAAATTAGTCAAAAACACCAAAGCTTGTAGAAAACTGGTTTACCATCGATATTTTGTAAAGTGAGAACAAACAGCTAAATTCTCAGAACTGATTATTTTACCATGGTTTTATTTCTCACAGAATTAATCATTCAAACCTCGTTAGTGCCAGAAGAGATGTATAGATAAACTAGACCGAGCAGCTCTGAGACATGGTTTTATTTAGGAAAAATCCCAAGTTTTTCTCCTTACAGTTTGCTGCAGGTAAAAGGAGTGTATGTTACCATGACAACTCTGCTTTGCTGTAAGGCGTCATCCTCTCTTTTAAGCTCTGTCTTATTCATTAAAATCAGTGGGACTTGTTCGATTTGGAAGATGACCAACAGAGTGATAAGAAAAGGACCGGGGTGGATGTTGGAGAGTTCCTGATCAGTGGTGATAATCTTGAGGTCCTCTTATGTACTTTACAGAACAAATTGCTAAATAAAAGTGCAATTAGTTTTACCCTGCAAAACTGTTATTAGTACGAAAATAATTTAGAAGTTTGAGCTCTGGCTGACACTTTTGAGGTTTCTTTATTATAAGAAACTTTTAAAGTCAGCGCCACCTAAAGCATCCAGATTATTGGTGAAGGGAAGTAGGTACTCACACAAAAAATAAAATAATAATGAAGTGTAAAGGGCCCCCCTCCCTCCCCCCCCCCCCCCCCCAATTTACGTCATTAATAGGAAAAGTTGTTAACAGTAAAGTTAAGATGTTATAATGTGAAATCGCTCCAGTGATTTATTTTTTTGCATGGTTTGCAGCTCTACGTTTCTTATACAAGCTGATACCAATTATTTTTCTATGTAAAATTTTAATGCCGATACTGGCCAATATTAATATAAGACCAATAATATCCAGCATCCCATCGTTATGTGTAAAACATGAAACTACAAGTATTTGTTGAAGGACTTTGTTCTTTCTGTGCGGTTCAGTAATGAAAAATGATGCACGGGACCTAAAAGGATGGAGTTACCTCGACTTCACACTGGAAGCATTAGCGGTGTGGATCGGCACCAGAACACTGCTATATTTATTTTGTCAGCAGCTGAATCTCATTCTCGCTAAGATGTGTGTAATGCCTTTTTTTTTTTTGTTCTTTTTTTTTATTACAGCTATGGTGATAAAATATTTAAAAAGATCTTCAGCTAAGAAAAGGCAAGCCTTGGGTGAAGATTCCTGTTTATGTTTCAGCTTCACATAGCTACGTGCTATGAGGACAGCATGCATTCACTAGACAGGGCAAATTTCTACTTTACATGTTGTGCCAAATAAACTAAAATATCTCAAAACTTTGTCTCAGATCCGTCATATTTTGACATTTTGAGAGAGATAAGAAGCTGGAGAGTATAATACGGGTATGACTTGTAAAGGCTGTGTCATTAAAAGACTGGAAACTATGGAATCGGTGAGCAGCCACCCACACAAAATAAAATTAGAGTGACATCACCTTATAACATCATAACTTTATTGTTCAAGCACTGTAACTTTCACGTTTGTACAATATATTGTCACAGACTTACAATATAAATATAATTGTATTATAACATGATAGTATCTTGTAAGAACATGATAGTATGTTGTACAAATGTCATAACATATTGTAAGAAAGTGAAAGTTATATTGCTTGAACAATAAAGTTAATGTGAAATCGCTCCAATATTTTTTTTGTGTGGGTGGCAGCTCTATGCTTACGTAGAAACTGATGAAGATATTTTTTATGTTAAATATTATTGCAGATTTTGATTAATGTTAGACCAATAATATCGAACATCCCTACTTTGTGTATAATACATGAAGCTATAAGTACTTTTTGAAGGATTTTACACTTTCTTCGTGGTTCAGTAATGAAAAAACGATGCACGGGACCTAAAGGATGGAGTTACCTCGACTTCTGACTGGAAGCATCAGCGGTGCGGAACAGCACCGGAACATTGCTGCTTTAAGTAGAATCCATTATAGCCTATAGGTTGATCCAAACTGACTGGGGTGCAGAAATGTTTAGGTGAGTCCCAGATGTAGCACGCTGCACCTCTATAGAAAGGACTGGGCTGTATTTTTGCTGTGAGCCACTTCTGAGGAATGTTAATTTCTGCAGATAACATAGAGTTAGACAAGAAATCACATTCAGTTTTAGAACAAAACCTCTGTAATTTTCAAAAAAAAAATACTATTGCAGTAACGCGATTTCATATCTATGTAGATTACGTCAATGCAGGTGCTCTAACAGCTTATTTACTCCCAGCATCTTTTGAAGTGCAACTATGTGTTTTATGGCTTTATTCCTGGCAGTGGAGAGGAATAACATTATATATGACATCAAATGTGATTTCTTCCTCTTCTTGGTTTAGTGGTGGATGGCATAAGCGAACTGTGACCTTTGAAGTCTCAAGAGATTTTAAGATCTTGCGAGTCCGGCGAGAAGAACGTGTGAAGTGTGGATTCGTGTGCAGCGAAGCATGCAAGTAAGCCACGCCCCTGATGCCTCCAGTGTGAAATCGGGGATAGGGTTAGCTAACTAACGCAACAAGTCTCTAGAAAAAAATGTTAGCATGATTTTGTTTCATGCTGAATGAACCAACCAAAAACCTTTGTTCTGGTAATGTCAGGATAGATTAAATCTGTTTCGCCTCTTGTTTATTAGCAGCCTGCAAACTTTGACTTAATTTCGTTTGAGCATATTTTTTTCTGCTGCACTGAGGTCTTTGATTTTGGAGCATCTTTTGTTTTAATATTCATCCTTGATGCTTTTTTTGTCCTTTCAACCTCCTACTGCTGGTGGATCCTCTAATTATCACCCCTTGTAGCATCAACAGACCTCCATCCGTGTGGGAAATTATCAAAAGCAATCACATCATCTGAAATTTTGAATTTGGCTTCAGTTTATTTGCAGCCAAGGACCAGTTGATAACTTTACATTAAAACAGGATGCATTCTCTAAAAATGTAAGCTTTAATTTCTACCCTGTGAGAGAGTGAAGGTATCTAAAAGGGAAAAAAATGGCTGTCAATACTTTTATCTCTCCAGTTTTAATCTCACAATTAATCAGTTTTAAACTTCAACTGTACTTTCCTTGCTATTAATAATGCATATTGACTTCATGAAGACTTAATCCTACAGTTTAATTGATGCTGCTATTATATATATATATATATATATATTATATATATATATATATATATATATATATATATATATATATATATATTATATATATATATATAATGGAATGACTCATGGTTTGACTGACTTTCTCAGATGGCTCTCAGGTTCATAATCAAGGCATCACACGAAATCTAAAGGAGCACCACTCCTACCTCTGCTGAAGCCTAATGAAGATGTTTATGCCAAATATCTGTTAAATATGGACGAACAAAATAAAAACACAAGACTGTTTATTATCATATTCTAATTAAACTTAAAGCCTACTTGAGTGACGGCTCGGTGGTTCCAATTCTTCCCGTCACGTCCCATGCATGAACACAGGCAGAAGGAAGAAGGGGTGGGAGGCCATGCAAACAGAAAGGGGGATGAAAAAAGAAGAAACAAAAGCAAAGCTCGTGTAAGATTTGATGAATAAACACAAAAATCAAAAATGAAGCAACAGGCAACATAAAAACACAAACTTGTTTTTAAACATGAACTTTAAGACGAGAATATTTGCATTCTTGTTCACAGACCTGTTGGAGGAAAATGCCACCGTAAATTCATGTCAGTCATTAGGGTCTGCAGCAGCAACGAGATGCTTTAGCATGGACAAAATAAAACAATTGTTTACTCATCCTTGTTTATCCCTGTCACACATTGCCTCCAAACAGTCTGAAACAATTTGGAATTGCGGAGTTATTGCAGACACGGAGGGAAATCCTGGACGTACACTGGTGTACGTTGATGCCTGACCATCTCTCAGAAACATCAGGATGCACAGGGAAAAACATGCCACCAACCAAAACTCTCAGTTTCTTTCAGTTTACTGATTAAAGTCAGTAAAATCTTGGATCCTATCTTGGAAAAAATACCTATTTTACAATTTCCTAAACATATTTAAACATCCAGGAGGGGCTCAGAGTAGACTAGCTGCTCCTCCACATCGAGAGGAGCCAGTTGAGGTGGCTCGGGCATCTAGGATGCCTCCTTCACATCTCCTTGTTGAGGTTTTCCGGGCATGTCCAACTAGGAGGAGACCCTAGGAGGAAGACCCTGAACAAGCTGGAGAGACTATGTTTCTTGGCTGGCCAGAAAGAGCCCTGGGATTCCACCGGAGGAGCCGGCCCAAGTGGCTGGGGAGAGGGAAGTCTGGGCCTCCCTAGCTGCTGCCCCCACAATCCCACCCCGGATAAGCGGATGATTATGGATGGATGGATATATGAACACATCTCAATAGATATTTAACTAATAACTTTTTTATTTAATGTACTTTTATGACCAAAGAAAAGGATAAAATTCTGTTGCTGTTGGTAATAAAAATATGTAAACTTGAAAAACAGAATAAAAACCACAGCAAAACCCTTCAACGGTATTATTTTGGTAATCAGTGCATCAGTGCATCGATGGATTTAAAACTCCATCAGCTTTTAAAGTCACATGCTGAGAATGATTGATGTGGTCATTAAGGAAGCTGAACATGCTTATTTATTTATTTATTTATTTTCTGTCCTCCTTTCTTCCTTATTTCTTATTCTTTACAATTCCTGCCTTTTAAATTGGACTTTTTAATTACAACATCAGTCATAATTAAATCCATATAAAGGACAGTAGCCTGCACATGATAAGCTGCAACATAATTTTAAACCATTGCTGGTCAGATCGATCACTTGGTAAAGCGTACTTGAGTCCCTACTCCTCACCAGAAACAGAGAAATCTAAAAAAGTATGACTGCCCTATAAATAAATAAATAAATATATAATATTTCATTTCCTTTATTGCTCTTTTTTTTAGCAGTTAATTTCCACTTTAGGCGTAGAATGCAATATTTTGAACCCTAGCCATTTCCAAATAAACATGTGAATAATTTATTTGCAAAAACACTTTAAAAAAACAATAAGTTCAATAGTCAATGTGTTTAATTCATGCAATCAAATTACCTAAACAAAATGATTTTTTTTATATTGAATAAAATGACACAAAACTAAACATGTCCATTCAAAGCTGAAATTTACCACCTGAAAGAACATTTTTGTTTTTTTCTCTCCAAATTCTGTAACAAGCAGCAGTTTTCTTTCCTTGATGATTCGGAGAGGATCAAATACCATCGGTAGCATCTTTTAAAACCACAGAAGAGTTTTTTTTTCTCTGCTACTGACCTCTGATACTCTCTGCTTGAACTTGTCAGCGTTTAGGAGGCTGCAGTAGCTCCGAGAGACCAACAAAGTGCTGCAGTTGCACAAACGGCTCTGCTCTCTCTGCCCACATTCAAGCTATACTTTTTTATAAAAGCCTTTGTGCTGATTTTCTTGTTACCTCATTCTGTGTGAGCTGCCTAATAGTCCCCCAGTGTGGAGCTCACTCCGACGTGCGCTAAACGCTAGCACAGCATTTCACACTGCCACATTAACACAGTAACACACATACACACACCAACACTGCGACAAGTGCTCATCCTGGACACGCACATCCAGATCCAAAAATATAACTGAATGCATCATTTAAAGGTACAACTTAAACAACTTGAGCCTATTTAGATAAGAAATACACAGAAGAAAATACATTTTTCAGCAAATGAACATTATTGTGACATGGAAGCCCTTTGGAAAGTTTCTCCATTTTAAAAACATGTGAGCGAAATGTAAGCTTGTTTTACTTCTTGCAAAAAACTAAGACAGGATAAGAATTACTAAATATTTTTTCTCATACCTGCAACATGAAGGATAACTGATCAATCAGAACCGCTGCCTTTATTTAAAGCCACAGACTCCCATGATCCAGCCCTTGTCAGATGTCAGAAGGTGTTTAAGGTTTTCAGGCGTCAGTATCACAGTGCTCTGGAGAGTGCCCCAGTTTAACAAAGCAATGCCACTGCACCAATTAAAATGTGCCAATTATAAGAAGATCCTGTGATGGCTCTCCAGCAAATACTCATCACCATGGCAAAACATTCAGGGATTCACAAACGAGCGCATTATGATGCTGTTCGGTCAGACTTGTTTTCTCCATCACTACAGACAAAATAACTTGTTCGGAGTAGTCATTAAATGTGGCTTAAAACGCCATTAAATAATGATCTGTCAATCTAATGAGAAATGGGACATTTATAGATTTTAATTTGCACTACATTTTGTGACAAACAGCCTTTCATTTTCTACGTAAGTGATCATTTTGTTTCCTTTGTGGGGACTTTATTTGGAAGTCTTATTCTAAACGCAATCTTAAAAAGAAAAAAAGGGTTAAAAACTGTCTCAACCCAGGCTCTGGGTAAATAGTGGTTACTGGGTTATTTTAAAACAGGAAATTGGGTTTTGCAATCAGCCCAACTCATTCGGTCAATGTTTTAACCCAAATATCAGGTTATTCCTAACAAAACCATTGGTGTGATCATACCCAATTGCTCTTTTCACCGTCATTACTGGGTTATATTGACCTAACTTATGACTTATTATATCCTATTTTCCTCCTTGACCAACATTTGGTCAAAGCTACCCAACCTATGACCCAACAGACTTAGACAAGTTGTAACTAAAGTTATCGGTTAATTAAACAACTAAAAAAACAAAATGGGGCAGCAGTAGCTCAAGAGGTTGAGGTTGTCTAGTAATCAGAAGGTTGCAGGTTCGATCCCGACAGTGAATTCTGCTGTTGTGTCTTTGGGCAAGACACTTAACCCACCTTGCCTGCTGGTGATGATCGGAGGGAATGGTGGCGCCCGTACTCTGCAGCCTCGCCTCTGTCAGTGTTACCCAGGGCAGCTGTAGCTTCATTGTAGCTCATCACCATTAGTGTGTGAATGTGTGTGCATGGATGAATGATACACTGAAGTGTAAGGGGCTCGACACATGGGAGGCGACAAACGACCGCGATCAGCGAAATTTGTCGCTGTCGCTTTTATTACCGGACACATGGGAGGCGATCCGCGGCAGCGGCCAGCGGCAAAGTCGTCTACGCGTTCTGTTCCATGGCGAAATCGAAACTTCCGTTGTTTTGCTTGGCTGTGTCAGGTTGGAGGGAATTAAGGTTATTTAAGCGGTTCAGAGTTAATAAAGCGGTAGATATGATGTTTCACAAGGTGCTGCTAGAGTTATGTGAAATCTTACTTCTGATTTTACTATAGAAAACATAATAATAATCAACTTCTCCTTCATGTTTGCTCGGAGATGTGCGGAGCATCCTGTCCGCTCATTGGTCAGTGAATGAAACCTCCGTTGATTGGTCCTCGTCTGAGCGACAGCGATGAAAAGTTGAAAATATTTCAACTTTCTGGGATCGCGTCGCTGGATTGCCTGTGCATGACACGTGCATGAGCGCAGAATTTCACACGCACGTTTTTCGCGTTTCGTTTAGTAGGAGGGAGATCTGCGATTATCGCTTTGTCGCGCATGTCTCATTGAAAATGAATGGAGGAGAGACGATGTCGCCTCCCGTGTGTCAAGCCCATAAAGCGCTTTGGAGTCCTCTGACTCTGAAAGGCGCTATACAAGTGCAAGTCATTTATCATTTATCACATCACCAACCCAACTCCTGGTCAGCACTTCAGAGCCAATATTGGGTTAAACTAACCCAACAATTGACCCAATGGCTTCCACCCAGCAGTTGGGTTATGAAAATAATCCAGTACTTTTTTTTGAGTGTGGACATAAGGACTCCATGTTTCCTGGCTTTTTAAATTAATTTTGTTGTCTCATTTTATTATTGTGATCACATCATGAAAATTACATTATTTCGTAGGACTGGCATTCTTGAGAGTGTTGTAAAACAGAACAAATTATGGCCATTTCCGTTTTTGCTGAGATCAATTAGTGATGACTCAAAAAAAATGTATTCCTTGTACGTTCACATCCCATAAGGATTTTCTGGTTTATTAGATGTTTTGTTGTGAGACCAACAAGGTTGACTCAAACAGTTAATGCCAAAGCGTTGAAGAAAAAGACTTTAATAACCCATTAGTGCTCGAAACGTTTGATGTTGGTCTTTGTTCAGTTTGTTCTGTGTTGGTTATCCGATTCCAAAATGGTTCAAATGAAGGCAACTGGACTTCTTTGGTTTCTTGTTTTGCTGTTAATTCGAGGTTCTTTGTGAATTCTAACTGGAATATGGGAGAGTCAAGCTTATAAACTGTAGCTGTCTATTGTTGCTTAACGAGTAGAAACTACTCTGAATACCCCTTTTCTCTTCGCCCTGATGAGTCATTAGCCTCTATTCTGAGAGTCGTTGTGTTGATTAGATGTTAGATGATTTTGGATTACCATAACCTGGATGGCTGAGAACCTTCACCAGCATATGCTATCTGATTCCATTATTTGGTTCTTTTCTCAACACAGGGTAGTAAAGACCCATTTTTACCTTCTTTACTGACAATTTTTGGCTAATGTTGCCAATGTTGGTGGTGTCACTTCCATTTCCATTTATCTGTGGGCAGCAGAGGACAATGTCCCCTGCTCGCACCCTCCTCACCGATGACCGCGCCCCATGAACGGTTCAGTGTATATTCTCCCCCTCGCCTCTGTTTATTGTGCTGGGTCCATGTCTCCTTATTTCAATCACTTCCTTAATCTATCCTCTTTAGTCATTTTTTGTGGTTCATGTTTCAATGTCTACTGCTGCCTTCGTCAGAGCTATTGCTAAGTTGGTGGCATCACTTCTGTTTAAGATCGGCGATAGCTCTGACAAAGGCGGTAGTAGACATCAAATCATGTCAGCTAAGTTAAAACAAGCTCCTCTTAATCTGTGTTTAACAAAAAACCACAAAAACTTCATTCAAACAGACAACATAGAACGAACGTAGCAAAGACATCTTCTGTGTTTTGTTGTTCGGCGTTTATGTCCCAGTACTGGGAACAACAAAACGAACAAGGACAAAGGAGTTTATATATCGGACCATTCACGGGACATGGTCATCGGTGACAAAAGCACGGGCAGCAGAGGGCAACATCCTCCTCAGCTGCCTGCATATAAACGGAGATGGAAGAGGCGCCACCAACTATGGTTGCTTTATCGACGCTTTGTTGAAGGCTACAGATGTAACCGAAACTCGTCAGCAAAGAAGGTAAAAAGAAATCCACATAAAATCTAATAATTAAATATATTTTTTTAGCTGTTGGTCGTGATCTGCGGCCGATGGTAGGGCAATTAGAGGTTTGGTACCGTCTTAACAGGGTTTCATGCCATAATGGTTTTCCCTCTCAATCCACAAAATGCCTTTCATAATATTTAATTATTAACTAATTGATGAACAAACATCTATGTGTAGTCTCTAAATTTTGCAGCGTCCTGTCACTTGTATAAAGCATGATTAGTGAGATAAACAAACGTAACAAACAAGTCCGAATGGCTGCATTTAGAGCCGGACATCTGAAATCCGATCAATCAATTATGATGTTGGTTTCAGGTCTGAATATGACCTCTGTAATACCAGATCACTGTGTGTTTTAATTATATCGGTGGCATGTGTAACTGTTGTAACATCATATCAGCTCAGTAAACCTAAGGGGCTAACTGAAGGCCCAGTTACCAAATGCACGGCCCGCCACTGCTATAATATAAGGTAAAAAATATCTAAGAACAAAGGCAACTCGTCCTGGTCGAAAACAAAATGGAATTCACAAATGTGTTTGTTGATCAAAGGTTTAGTACCATTTCAGGTTTCAACTCACCTCATCCACATTCTCAAAGGCGTTGATGACATCATACGGGAGGCAGGACAGCAGGTCAATGACGAACCAGGTCTTCAGGTAGTTCATTCGGATCAGCTTCGGGTCTGAGATCACCTCGCCAGCAGGTCCGACAAACGTGGTGTGAAAGTTCAAAACAATATCCACCAAAAAGATGACGTCCACGATGCTGTCGACCACCAGCCATGTCACGTTGTTCTGCTTCGTCTTGAAGGAGACGTTGTAGGGCACCATGATGGCGGTGTAAAAGGTGAGGATGAGGATGACCCAGTCCCATGTGGTCTTGAAGAGGCAGTAGTGCAGGATGATGTGAGGAGGAGTTTTGGGGGTCTCCTGCTTGTACTGAGGTAGGATGTCTGAGCCAAGCTGCAGCACCTGAAGGAGCAAAGAAAAATAAAAAATGTTTTATCTCCACTGGAGGTCAAAACTTCTGCAGTTTGAGGCATAACGTGACGACTAGAGCTAAGAACTGCTTTGACCTGCAGATTTTCCCAATACAGACACAAGCATGAATAAAACATACCTCAGCTAGACGGGAGTGCTTGTGGACGTTCTCTCCTTTATGAACTGTGGGTTGAAGCTGCTGTAGGACTCCCCTGCTGCTTGTTAAAGCTCGAGTCAGTCGAGCAAACTTCCCCCAGCCTGAAGTTACACAAGAAAAAAATTAACTGTTTAACATGTTTCCCAAAGCATTAACTTTACATTAACTGTCTCGAAGATTGATTATTGACTGTGTTCACAATTTATTCACAAAATGCTGAAACAAACAAAAAATCTATAAAACATATTGTTTTAGTTAAAAAGTAAAGTAAAAAAGTTAAATGCATCACCTAACCTGATTCCTTTTCACTTTTATTGATTTTATGATTTTTATGGCGTATTTAAAGTTCAAGACTAGTTTGCATCATCTCAATTAGCAGACAGTATCTTCCTGATTTTTTTTAATAATGTGATTTAGAAATTAAGATGGCCGCAGTTTTCCAGTGGCTGCGTCAAACATGTGGATTAGTTCTCCTGCCCATAAGCACTAAAACTGCAGACATTTTCAAATTACAGGGGAGCAAGGGGGAGCCTGGCTCCCTCTAAAAGGAGAATGGGCTCCCCCAGATGCCTTCAACTGACACACCAAGGGGGAGTCTGAAAAAGCACCCAGTAAACCCCCCCCCCCCCCCCCCCCCCCCAACCACCACCAGCAGAGTTGTAATGCAAGTGGTCGGTCGAATGACTGAACAACGCACCGCATTAGCCAGTACCGTTAGACATCTGCTGATGTATAGATGTCAAACACAGAGTGTGCGCTAGCATTACAGGAGTATGTACTGATGCAATGTATTTTAGCTCTGCTGGCCAGCTAGAGGCGTACGTTCACAGACAATAAGTGTTGTTTACAGCCGTCACCACAGAAGTAGGGTGAAGGGCTTAAGGTGCTATGCAGTTTTTCTGCCTCTAGATGGCACCCTCTAAGAAAAAATTCTGGATTTCTGCTTTAATGGCATTCACCATGTTGGTATTCATATTCATTTATTTTTGGCAAACGTTTCTCACAGAAACACCGTGATCAGAACTGTGAACAGAAGTAATAAAACCGTTTTAATTAGGTAAACAATAAATTGAGTTTTATGCATCTAAGCCTCTTATTCAATTCCAGTCACTTGAATTAATTTTCTTCTGTTTTGGCTGTGTTTAACACATTTCCAGCCTACTGAATTAATTTGTGCTGTGTGCTAACAACAATCATGATGCGTATTTGTCTGACTAGGTACTTGTCCGAGCAGATGCACAATGAGTCGGGTTGAACGGTGATGGTACTAATTTTACCTCTGTAACGTACCAAAAGGGTTCATTTTTCACCTGTATGTTGATCAACATAATAACCTTTCATCTACAGCATAAATCCACTTTCAATTTGGCCTTCCAAATCCAGAAGGTTCTGTTCAGTGCGTGTTTACATACAGAAGACAAAACATCCAGACAAACATTCTCTCCCAAGGTCCTACACTCTCTGCAGGAAAGCCAGACGTCAACATTCTTCACTCTGAATAAGTAAAGACTCCATGACTTTTACATCTCATAAGCTTACAACAATCATATGTGATGAATGAACAAGATGTTTAAATGAAATGTTTGAATAACCTGTGCTTAAACCAATGATGGCTTTAAAATTAATGTTGTTCTTACAATGATCCATTTAGATCACAAATCAGTATGTGTTTGATTTAACAAGTTAATCATTGTTTACACTCATACACATCACATAAGTGTTTTAAACCATTCTCATTCACAGTGTTAAAACCATCTTTGTATCTGAGGAGGGCGTGGCTTTCTGAGGGATGTTGGTAAATACTCAGAAACGTGTCAAATTCTGATTGGCCAAACTTGGCCAGAAATCATAACAAAGTAGTTTAATAAAACAAGAATTACTTCCTGAGTAATTCAGTTTCTAGCGAAGTTCTGAACCGGCCAATTCGGGACAAGCATCCTTGAGACATCTCTTTTGACATACAGTCAAAAACCTGTTTGCATGCTGTAAGCTGACACAGCCAGACGGCCTCCCAAGAGCCACATCCACTTTGGACGCCAACAAGCATTCCAGCTACTGTTGTGATTTGGAGACATCTCAAGACTGGACGGGTCGTATTGGAGCTAATCTACGAGCTCCCGGTGCCGTGAGGTCCACCCGACTTCTGACAGTCCGGATCTGCTGGGGGTCTCCGCCAGGGTTTGTAGACACAACAGATTGCGTCTGATGCTGTTTTATTAATAATCAACTCTCTAGTTTACAGCAGACAACACATTCTTTTACACCCAGATTTCACAATTTCTTTCAGATACACATCTAACTTACATCACACCACCTCACACATCACATTCCATCACCGCATATCCACTCCATCACATCTAATTATTCATATCTTGTCATGTATGATCATTAGTTTTGAAAAGAATAAAATTCCTTTTTAACTATATACCTGACTGTCTGAATTATACAAAGTGTGTTTATGGTCCCTGAACAAGGAAAGTAACTATAATCTTCTGATTCAACTTCAAAGATCAATCAGGTTGATATTTCATATTTATATGGAATTATCACACCTTATTGGTCATAATTAATTTGCAGTCGTCACGCTGTAAAGTGTGACCGCTACACCTGTGCCTCAGGATGCTCTGCTGCAGATCATACAGGTTTGTCACGCAATGTTGAAAAAAAAAGCATTTAATCAGATTTTCCTGAGCCTTTTCATTCCCAACATGTAAATATAATTCATCTTTTTCAGCTTAAATCCTTCTGAAGTTGACAACCTGTTTGCTAAAATGCTTGAAATTGAACAAATTGAGTAGTTGACTCTAACCTTTGGAGGAATCGTCTTCAATTGGCTGCTTGAAGGCAGTGATGTCACTGAACGTGCAAAGGAACAGAACTACTTTCTCTTGTTCATTTCGTATGGGAGCAATCTTCACGAAAAACCAAACAGGTGTTCCTGAAAGAGAATAACACAGATTTAGCTACTTACTTATAGAGAAAACAGCTCTGAGCGCACACACTGAAATCTGGATTGCATACTGTAAATAGAAACGTTCTGTATTCATGTTTTCATGTTTTTGGGCACAGGTGCAAGCATAAGCGGTCCACGTGCAGGTGGAAACAAACACAGCTACATTTTCCAGAATATGTCTTTCCAGTCTGGCTCTCAAACCAATTAGCAGATTTTTACAGATGCAGAAATGCTCTGAGCTGCCTTTGAACTTGAGCCTCTCGCTACAGAGGCCATAAGTGCATTTGTATTACAAAAGAGTGGAGATTTCTCCTTTTTCTCTTCCTTCACGCTGTTACTTACTGTTCTTCTTGTACATCAGTATTTCAAACGAGTTCATCTCATAATTCTCAAATGTTAGCCGGACTTTTTCCGTCGTGTCCTTGTCTGTGAGCTCCCCGTACATGAAGCTGGGAAACAGAAAGAAAAGAGGAATTACATTTTGGCTCATCAAAAGATTGTGCTACGCTGGAAGGGAAAGTTCCTTTTTGCACTAAAATACTGAGCAAAGATTCATGACTATTTAAAGGGCTCTAGCAACTTTCTAGTTCTAAGGTCACTTTAAATTTTTTTTCTCTACTTTCTCAAAATATGAGAAAATACAGCTCAGGTTTGCAGTCAAATCCAACTAAGCTCCGCCCCCCAGCTACAAAATCGATCCTCCTAATTTACAAATGAGCAGCCGCTTCTCAGTTCTTCTTGTATCTTCTCTGGAGACACTGGGTTGCTTAAAAATGTATAAAATGTCTGAGCTACAAGCAGAATGCTTCCTATTCACTGATTTTGTCTGCAAGTGCAGATGCAAGAAGAATCTTACAAAAGAACCGCTCAATATGGATTATCTTTATTTTTTAAACGTTTTCCTGATAATATAACCAATGTATTGATGAAAAAGTATGATCAAACACATCTAATAAAACTAAGAAGGCTCTATATCAGCTTTTTTTTTTACTGATACCCAATGGATCTGATAACTCTATACATCCAATATATCGATATATCCAATGTTTTGATATACTGGTGTATGGTCAATATATCAATATATTGATATGGTCGATATATTGGATATGGCAATATATCAAATACATCAAACACATTGATATATCATTATGGTCAACTCAGTGGTTCCCAACCTGGGGTTTGTGACCCCAAAGGGGGTCTCCACAACTTTGTTTTTGCTGAAGTTGAGTTACCAAGATCATATTTGTGAAGACTACATTTATAAAATCCCAAATGACACTACTAATAGTATAATCAAAACTTTGTAAGGTTTGTTTTTATCACTTTTAATGTGTATACACCTGGTGGTGGTCGGAGGGACCGGTGGCGCCTGTGCTCGGCAGCCTCACCTCTGTCAGTGCGCCCCAGGGCAGCTGTGGCTACATCTTGGCTTATCACCATCAGTGTGTAAATGTGAGTGTGAATGGATGAATGATACACTGTAGTGTAAAGCGCTTTGGAGTCCTTACTCTGAGAGGCACTATACAAGTGTGGCTCATTTATCATTACACAGGTAGAAGTGGGGGCTGGGTGGTTGTGACTTGTCTTGACTTCTTTCTGGTGGAAAGAAATTTGGAACCACTGATCTAACTCTTACTTTGAGTCAGAGGAGAAGTAGCTGAAGAATTTGATTTAATATGTGCATGATATGTGTAGGCCATACTTCCTCACGTTACATATGTAAAAGTTGTGTCGTTAAAAGAGTAAAAACCAATACCCATAATTACCTATATTGCATTTTGATGCCAATATCAGGCGACTATTTTGAACAACCTTGATTAAAACTCTAACAAGTCAGAATTTTCTTGTTTTTCATCTAAAAATCCATGATTGTAAGAACATACATTAAAAAATGGCTGCTGCACTTTGATTACAACTAGATTTACATTTAGAGTAATCGCTGGAGCTAGAAGTGACAGAACATATTCTTGAGCATTGTTTCTTCTTTTATTTATTTACTTTTTGGGTTGCCCTGAATGTCCTGTGCAGCTTACCTGTGCAGCTTACCTGTGCAACAGTTCAAATCGAAACGGCGCCATATTGGCAGGCAGAAGCCCGCAGCTGGACTATTTGTTATTATCAGAAAACTCAATCAAACGGGAAATATGGTAGATTCCTGTTGTGCCCCAGGATGCAGAACAGATGCGGACGACATAAGGAATGAGCCATCTACAGGATTCCCCAAGATCCGGAGCGCCGCAAACGTTGGATCATTGTAATAAAACTCACTAGTGACCGGGCTAAAATGAAACTGTGGGATCCCGAGAGTAAAGGTTTTCGCTTATGCAGCGACCACTTCATATCAGGTACTTAAACCAACGTTTCCTCAACTGTGTATAGTATTTATTTTAAATGCTTTTATTACGATTCTTAGTGGGCTTCCTAAACTTATTTTGGCGTGGTTTTTTTCTGTCTTATTACTCATAGCAACAAGTAAACGTCACGTAAAACGTTGCCTCGTGATTTCTGCGTGTTGCCGTTTCCGTGTTTTATGATCACAGCAATTAACCGGCTAAGCTGTATTTAATTTTTAAGCAATGGTTGATCAATTGTCAGATCACACATAAAAAGCACTTTGGATTGCTATTATCTGTTTCACCGAGACAGATCTCAGACAGATCCTGAGACGCTCCTGCCTGACATTTTTATTTTATTCACAGAAAAAAAATCAGACTAGTGATTTCTCTTGGCGTTCAGTTTATACATTCAAACAGCACAGCCCTCTATTTAAACTACTTACACGTAAATCTGTTATTTGTCCATCCATCCATCCATTTTCATCCGCTTATCCGGAGTTGGGTTACGGGGGCAGTAGCGTCGAAAGGCCCAGACTTCCCTCTCACCAGCCACTTGGGCCAGCTCCTCCAGGGAAATCCCAAGGGGTTCCCCGGCCAGGTCTGGTAAGAAGTCCGCTTCGACAGCTTCTGGCGTTTTTTAAAAAGTATCCCAGGGGCACGGTAAGGGTCGGAGATGTTTAGTCTATTTAATTTCTGACTATATAAAATGATTTCTTCGGTTTTAAAGTGTGAAGTAAGCTCAGATGAAGTAAAATCCAAGCCGATCCCGTTCATGTTCATGTTTACGATCCGTGTTTGTTTACCTTTTTTTCCTACCAATATGGCGTCCACTAACTGAGAGTCACGTGGGGTCCGGAGCTCTATATCCAGCCTAATGTTAAATAGTGTCACTGTTTCCTCTTCAAAGTAATTATTGAATCTAATTGGATACTTGTGCTGAATTTGAGGAAATTTCCTATAACACCTTGTTAAACCTAAACTGAGCAGACTGGACTGTAATAAATACCGATTAGTATTAAATTAAATCTCACTGAAATCTACCCCGAGAGAATAAAAGGACACATGAACCCTGGCTTTTATAATTGATGAAAGACAAAGCGCGTGGCAGGAAAACATATTAAACCTGAAGATTGGTCAAGCAGCCGTGAACGTCTTTCCCAGCGCTGCAGAGGTATTCATCTCCCTCCACGTGTTTGTGCTGCCTTCGGCAGCAGCCGTTTCAGCCGGATCTAAATATAACCCCCAACTTGTTATGAAATACAAAAGGAGGGCTACATCTAATGAGACAGTCTGACGCTTTTCAGGCTTGATGTAATAACGTTGATTAATGTCATCCCTTCCTCTTCCCCTCTCCTCTCCGTGCGCCGGAAGGAGCATGGCTTTCTTCAAAGAACAATATTGCATAATAATTTATGAAATTGCTTTCTTGTTGTGTGTGGAAACCCCCAAAGGTTTGCTGTGATGTGTGCATGATCCAACACAGGCAGAAACAAAAACATAACCTAATGGACAACATCACCGAGGAGATCCGGATCAAGACAAGGATGAAGATAGAAATAACATCTTTGATCACCGCACAGATACGGTCCCCAGGCTTTGGAGGAATGAGAGTGGATTTCATGTTTGCTTCATCTACAAAAACATCCAGCATTCACACTGAGTGAATTTTTTATGGCCCTATAACCGGGCTCATGAAGATGGTTTCAGACAGAAGCTAAAAAGAGCTGAAAGAGCAAGAGAGGATTAAAGTCGCTGGAAAATGTGTGAGGAGAAATAAAAGCTGCAAGAAATTCTTTGGAGGGAAAAAAATTCCCATCAAGAAGATTTTAATTGTTTGACAGAAACAGCCACAACAGAAATGTTCTTCTGGGGTGCTTATTACAAGGTTTAAGACATAAACTAAAAGAAAAGAAACCAGGCGGATCAGATGGAGTGTATTTTTGGAAAATAACAGGAGCAGATAGATATTCCTCCTCTGTTTACAGTGGAATGATGTTTTTCCACCAAAGATGCTATGTGTGAGAAAAGTGCACATGTCCTGTAATGTAATAGTGTCCAAGCTCTGCACTGGTTGCCAGGAGACAGAACAATCCAGGAAGTAGCTTTTCCAGCTGTAGATTAAATGCAAGTTTTATTTGTCAAGCTTTAAAAAAAAACAACAGAGGTGTTGCCTTTCCTGGTGAGGAGGAGGACGAACGAGCAGCAGCTTGGAGGGTTCATGATGTTCTGACTTTGAGAGAGTTAAGGCTTCTTTAGGAGCGGTGTTACACGGTGACTGCTTCCAGCTGCACTTCAACATTTCTGACAACCTGTTAGAGAGCATGAAACTGTCACGTTGAGAGCACAGAGGTGGTTAGGACCCAAGATGCAGATACCCCAGATGACAAGAGGCAGGAGTTGGTATAAAGTAAAATTCCTTTATTCAGGAGGAGAACCAAAAATCCAAGGGGGCGAAGGCAAAAACCAAATAACTAAACAAAGACAAAAATCCAAAAAGCTCACCTTCTGAGCAGATAACTAAAGACTGGAGACAAACCAACACTGACCAAGAAATACATACAATGGACCGACAACAACACAGAGACAAGACAGGGCTTAAATAGACTGGGAGGAACAATTAAGGGAACAGGGAGCAGGTGTGTGGAGTGAGGGCTGGAGGGAAGGCAGGTGACAATAATTACCTAAATGGGGAAACAGAACCAAAGGAGGACAGATAAACCTAAAACTACAAATCCAAACTAAAAGGCAGTGGGAAGGACTAACACACACACACGCACAGACATAAATAACTCACACACACATATACTGGGCTGGGGAACAAGAGGCTGGAGCTGCATCTGGAGGGACAGAGGAGAACTAAATGAACACCGGACCTGAGGGAATGATGAAAAGGCCTACAACAGAAGACACAATATTGAGACGCAGACAAAGGACACATAAGGGCGCTATGAGACACAGAAGTGAAACCAGAGAGGATAGAGAAACATCAGGAGACACATTAAGGAGGGGGCAGACGCAGACCATGACAGAAACAACCTTAAAGTGAGAACCTACAGTCGTGAGCATGCACCACCTTCACCAAGAACTTGTTCTGATTGGAGGCATTGAGATGT